GCAATGCATTAGCTATTTCTTGGTTAAACTTGTGGGTTGCATACATTGTTTCTTGGTTATGCTTAGGTTAATTCAGTATTAAGGGGTGGGTAAGACCGGAGGGATGCTTATCTGCTGAGTGGAAATAGGTATATACACTTTGATTATTTCCTCTGGTAAAGAAATCGATTCCAAATTTCTATCAAAAATAAGAAGTTTGGGCAACTGCAAAGCAGGGGGTAGTTATTAGCCCAGGAAGTGAGTAAAGCCCGGATTTCTAGTTATGTTCCAGTTCTGTTTCTCAAGGTTCACTTTATTCTTGTAGAGATCCCCCCAAACAGTGCAGTTTGTTCAGTGCAACCTGAAAGCAGTTCTTTTCCAGCCGGGCTGGAAGGTTAGCTGTACATCTGCTTTCATCCCTGATGGTCTCTCTTTTATCAAATTCCATTTGCTTTTATAGTCCTGTCCCAGGCCACTGAGCTAAGTTTAGGAGGGATATATCTTTGATATCTTTGAAATTGATTCTGTTTGTTAATGCATGCTAATGTGGGACCCATGGGCATAGTCAATATATGGGAACTTTGTATATGTTCCCAAATTGTTAGACATGTAAGAGGACTATTGCTGTGCAGTGGTGATGGTGTAGCAGCTAATTTTTCTCTTGAGCTAAGGGTGTGACTTCAAGCTTTCCATAGGTGATTTTACTTTTGTGTGTGTGGCAGCTCTAAGTGATTCTCTTGGGTAATAAACCTGTTAATATAATTTGCTTATACATCATATTGTTCTTATAGTATAGAAAGTAAAGAATGTAGTACTGTATCTATTAATACTGAAGTTCAAAGGGATAAAGAAGAAACTAATCATAAATACATTTGTGTTATCAAAACCAGTCAGAATTCTGCCCTCAGAATGGTTGAAATGCAATAAAATCTTGAAAATAATATTAGATAAGCACTGTCTGGTGGCAGTAGGTATGGCAGAGCAAATGAGATCTCTGTCGTTAATCTGAAGATTAATGTTTAATTTCTTTAAAAATATATTTTTCTCATGAAAGATTTAATCTTAGATTCTGAGCACTGAATAGAAATTCAGATTGCAAAATTTATGTAGCGGTTTTTTTTTTTTTTTGACTGCCAAAATCAGTCTTGAAAGTATACTACTGTTTGGTTAAATAAGTTTAGATGACAGAAATCAGTTGATTTTGGTAAGAGTTCAGGGAGGAAATGGTATTTCAGTGTTGGTGCCTAAAGAAGTTGCATTTTCTGGAGGTGAGGGAATGAGTTTTGTTTCTTCTCTTATCAAGAAGAAGAAAGAAATCCACGGAGAGAGATCAGAAATTGTTGTCTAATCATTTGACTAGAGAAGCAAGGATTTACAGAAAGCTTTCTACCCAGTATCACATGGTTTGTAGTAATATGCATAGATCTGGTAGCACTTCTTGACCATTAAGATCTGACTTTGTTGTGCAGTACTGAATATGTACCTTTCCACCATTTTATCTTTGAAACTGAATACAGAAAAGTATTACTCGCAAATAATAGTGGCAGACTTAGCTGAATGGGAACCTTCCGCCTAAGCCAACCTAATGGCTCATTACCGCTGAAAAAGTGATCCTGCTCCCCTTGCTTCACTGGTGGTGTAACTCTTCCAACTCCTGTAGCATCATCTCTGACTTGCTAACCTCGCTTGCCATCAGCTGCTGATAAAATCTGTGAAGGTGCTAGAGATGCAGACAGTCTCTTTCAGTAGCTGTTGTTCTTTCTGACAGAACTTACTAGTGTCTACTTCAATAGAGTATGGTTAATAAATCAGAAAATGATATTTCAGACACTGTCATTGTGAAACAGAAGTAATTTTGCATTACAGATGAGTATTAGGTTGCATTGTCTTCCTTATGTAGCATTTTAGTGTCTTTCCCACAGTACTGAAGAATTTTTGTTTCTCATCTTTATCACTGTCTCTAAACACCCTGGGCTTTTTCTTGCATACTGTATAGTGTATGCATGCTTTTTAACATAGCTTTACCCTCTTCCTGCATTGGGAAAGCAAATTCAGGGTGAAGGGAGTTAGTAAGCTGTTGAGCATTCCAAAACCTCTTTGTGAAGTTAATGAGTAGGGATGCAATGGGAATGCGGGGAAGGGCTAGATGCGATCTGCAGGGAAAGGGGAAGAGGCTCGTTGTGTACAGCAGCAGTCAAAATGCTGCTTTGCTGGGTAGTTTCCTAGGGATTTTTTGGCAATTGTTAGCAGGGCTTTTTGGATTTGGTTTTGGTGGTGGTGGGTTTTTTTTCCTTGCTCTTCAGTAGATGCAATGAGATATTTCATTGTTGCAAAAGTACTACAGTTGTTTTTGAGGATTCATTTATAAGAGTTAGGAATGCTCATTTTTACTATTGTTGGGTGTGTTTTGTGTTTGCGCTGGTCTGACAAGTAAAATAAATGTCCATGTGTGTTTACTGATTGTTGTAAAATACTTTCTACACAGCAAACTGGAAAAAGGACAGTAAGTTCGTTAGTTTGAGAAGTGCCATAACATCCTCAGCAGTGTGTAGTTCTCCTCTGACTGCAATGTGGGTCATGTGCCCCAAGCACCAGTGAGTGTAGATTTCAGCAAGTGGTGCTTCCCTTTGGGACATCCCCTACAGTTGGCACAGTGAAATAATGGCCAGCCAGGCAGCTGCTGCATTGAAGTACCCTGAGAATTGCAGGTGGCTGTGGAGGAGCTACAGGTAAAGTATGGCAGCTCAGTAGCAGCATCAGTAATACCCTTCACTCCAGGCAGGACTTGGAATTTTACATCCCCACCCAGCAAGTGGTTCATTTTACTCATCTTGTACATTGTGAATGCTTCACCCCTGGCAGTGTTTAAGGCCAGGTTGGATGGAGTCTTGGGTGACATGGTTTGGTGTGTGGTGTCCCTGCCCATATGAGGGGGGTTGGAACTAGATGATCTTAAGGTCCTTCCAACCCTAACTATTCTATGATTCTGTGATTCTGTGTCTTTGCTAGAATTGTGGACAACCTGGGGTGGCCACCAGCTGAAGGGTGCTGGTGGGATGTGTGGACACTTGTCCATCAGTTGTAGAAGATTTCAGTACCCCGTATCTTAGATACTTGCTGGCAGTCAAGGAGGAAATCAGTGCAAGTTTGTTTAGCTGTACATAGTGACTAATGGTGATCTCGGGCAGCCACCTACTACTGGGAGAGGTGAGGCCGGGAGATGCCTTTCCTTTTGGTCGATCCATCTTTTTTCCTCCCCCATGTTCTTCTTACATAGTAATAAAGTCTTTCAAAGGTCCACATGTGGGATCCACATTCAGGTCTCATAGCTATTACAGATACAGTAAGGACCAGAGTGGTCTCTAACCTAATGATCACTAAGAAAATCTCTGTGAAAGTAAGCTGTGAAAAAGCCAAACTAGGCTTTCCTGTGTCTTCTAGAGCACATGCCAGGGCAGCTAAAGCAGGATCTTGTGTGGTGAGAAAATACTGTTCACCATGGACATCCTCAAAGTGACCAACTTGAGGTCTCCTTATTCCTTCTTGAGATGTTGCGTAACTGAAGGCATTGGTTTTACCATATTGGGCAAAGCTGTGGTTTGTTTTGAGCCTCTGAGATGTGGGCTCTGGGTGGACTGGTCACTGTTTTGGCATCCCCAGCAGTGGAATACATGTGTGGACAATCACTCAGAGGAAGAGGAAAATTCACTGACTTCCTTATCCACATTCCAGTGCTTGCCTTTCATCTTCTCATCTGCACTGCTGTGCTGCAAGAAAGAGGATAATTAATGTTCTGCCACTTGTAGGGACAAAGCTGGAGGGGTTCCTGCTGCTTGAATCCCTTGTGAGTGCTGTGAATTCCCCTCAGTTTGGGTATACAGGTATCTGCATAGCCACAGTGAAGCAGATGATACACATAAGAAGCATTTCAGCAGTTTGGTACTCAGGCAAAGGACCTAGTTTGTTGTTTTTTTTTTTCCCTATACAGTATTGAAGAGTATGCATACATGTTACGTGTATGCCTTTCTGTGCTAGTGGAATATAAATGACAAAAGACAAATGCATTAGATTGTTGATGGTGATTGACATCTTAGCAGTAGTACATTGAGTTATATCACCTAAGGAAAGAACCTAAGATTTTTGTTTTTCTGCTTCTTTGGGGAGGGAAAAGAAATGTTTAGTCAAATTTGGAAAATTCCCTTGGATGACAACAATAAATCTAATCAGGTCATAGCGTTCGTGTCAAAGCTGTTAGTTTGGTATCTTACCATTTTATTTGTTTAAAAGAGATTGCTTGACATGTAAGCAGATGCTTACAGTTACTATTTTATGGTGTGTTCCTTGTTAAATATAGGGGACTCATTGTTCATTTGTTTCTTGAGAGCAGTGGTGCTTTATTGTGTTCATTCTTAAGTGCTATGTTCAGTGTGTCTGGTTCCATTATATCCCAGTTTAAGAACTGTATGTTGATCAAGCTGTCTATCTGTGTATGTGCTATGTAGATAACTGAACTAATTATATAGATAAAATTCTTGAAAGTGGTTATTTTGGTAATTGCAGGTATAAAAAAATGGGTATGTTACAGTTCCTTAGTATTATTTAAAGTTCAGACAGATTATATGGTTTGTTTTTACAAATTGTTTTTTCTTTATTAAAAAATATAAATAAGTCATAAATACCATCTCTCAAATATTTAAAAAGTGTGTTATAAAACAATTTTTCTGGCTTCTGAAAATATATTTTGTTGAATACATATTAAATAAGTTGATATTCTGAATAGTACCATTAGCAGTGAAATAAAATACAGCCTTTGTTTAAATTATTACTAAGTATTGAAAATATAAATAGAAAACGTTAGAAAGTAATAAATATTTTAAATACAATAAATAGGTTCCTAGAAGGAAATGAGAACATATCTAAATGCAAACTATTGTTACTCTTTCTAGTTCCTAAAACAGAACAACACTGTCATCTGCCAAATGACAGATTTGTAACAAAGGATTGTGCCTGAATTAAAACATTCAGACGCTGAAACTCCTGGTGTTTTTCAAATAGCGAACAGCCCTCACTGTTTTCTCCATAAATGAAGTAAAGTCTCGGAGGATGAGGTGGGTGGTGATTTTCTCTATCCAGGTCTTATCAGACTTCAGCTTTGCCTGGAGGGATTCCTGGGTAGCTGAGTCCGGGATGATAATTTCTTCGGGATTGATCACCTGTGAAAAAGACAATATTGGGGTGTTCTGGTTAAATCATTGTAATTGAACTTGTTGGGGAGCAGCAGTTTAGGTGTGTGACGTTCCCAACCAGCTACAAATCCCCCCTTTCTGTACTGTGGACAACAGACTTCTCTGGGACCTACGCTTCCCTACAGCCCCACTTCTGTCTTGGGGTTTGAGGTATGTTGATGCCTGCTATGGTTACTATGGAACAATCAAGAGTGTCTTGTCTGATCTATACTGTTTGTCCTGGTTTGAATGCGACATCTGCCATTGCAGTCCAACACGCTGCACTGAACAGATCCATACGCTTTTCCTGCTATCTGCCAACCATGTGGTGAGTTGGGAAGATGTGGACTGTGATTTGTCCCAAACTGTTTTGGCTGCTCCATCCTAAGTCATAAGTTAACTGGATGACGTTGGAGTACTCTCCTGTTTTGTAGTAGAGTAACAGTTTCCAAAGATGTCAAACTTGTTTAGCTGCCTAATTTTTACTTTCTAGGCATTTAGGCACGTGGGTGTCTTGATGTCACCAACTTTCACTCCTGTGTAGGATCCTGACTGCAAGATGAGTAAAAGAAGTTATGTAGTTAATGCTGACTGACAGCACTGGGCACCTGGTACCCAGATGTCTTTTAAGAACTTGTCCCATGAACTGAGTAGATGACTTCTGAAAATGGGAGTTACTCACCCAAATCATGGAACTGGTTTAGATGATTTATGGTCTAGAAGTCTAAAGTATCAGCTTCATCCTGGTTTTAGAATCTCTCCTACCCATTAACAAGTGACAAAAGCATGTGCACCTCCTTCTGGAACATCTTCTTTGTGAAATTCAGTAAGATATTAATTGCTTTCTGTCCAGATTACTTGGAAGTGGTGTATCCAACTCCTTGTAGCATGCTCTGAAAATTTTTTGTATCTGGATATACATTCAGCTAGCATGCAGATAGATCAACCTGAGCACAAATGACAGATTCTGTCCTTGCTCTCCTTGCCTTAAACAGCAGATGGGCTGCTTTTGTAAAGAAAGGATTTCAAACCTGGAGATCAAGATACCTCTTTCTCAAAAACCTACTTTCTCAGAAGTTTTGCTTTTGGTTAGTGTGTATCATTCTGCCTGTTACAGTTGCCTCAATCCTACTAATTTTCCACAGAAAGCTGTTCTCCCCCAGTTATGAAACAAACTTTCTGCAGACTATTACATCAAGTTGGAAGCCAGCAGTCAGTTGCTGTCTTTGTGACAGGACTATTATTCTTAGCTAGCACAGTGGGAAAAAAGCAGTTCAGCTCCCTTTCACTTAAAGAATGATGGACATAAGTAAATGTTAGGCAAGGTATGGCAAACACACAAAGGGCTTTTCAGGTGCTGAAAAACACCTTGGAGGAAATCATGCCCTGAGATTTCTGCAGATCTTACTCACCTGAATGGTTCTTACTCAGGCAAATAGTTTCCCTGATTACAAAAGGAAGTATTCATGTTAAGGGTTATTAATGTGAGTAAGAACTGCAGGAATGAAGTGAATTTTTGGAGCATGAACTTTCCAAGCTCTCCAAAATGATTGTCAGAGGTGAATAGCATTTAGTTTACTGAATCGAAAGAGAATTTTTATTAGTGCTAGGTTTACAATCAAAATGTGTGCTTTTCAATAGGCAGCACCTTTTGTTTAGTCAAGTCACTAATATTCTGACTTTAACTGTCTTCCTTCATTTGTAAGCTAGATGGTATATGGAGATACCAGTATCTTGGCTTAAAAGTTTGGTCTGGAGCATATTAAAGATAAATAATATTGCAAAGATGTATTTGCTTCTATTTATGTGGGTTCTTAAAAAAAAAAAGGCTTTTTTTTTTTTTTCTACTTCTCAGGGGGTTGCAACATTAGAAAAATTGGAACTGCAGTTACAATTAGGAACAAGCTCCTTGCGAAATCTCATTTCTGTCAGCCAGGCGGTGTTAGTGTATTCATTCTTGAAACAACTATGCATTTAATTGTTAGTTTGGAAATTAGAAATAGCAATAAAAAGTAGGAAGAAGAGTTGTTTCCTTAAGAAAAGGAAACCAAACCTTGTGAAACTGGTAAGTTAGTCATAAGGGTGAGTAAGCAGAAGGAACCATCATGTCTATCTGGGGAGAGAAGTGAAAGTGGGAGATGTTGAGCTTCACACAGCATCCTCATTCTCTGACTACACATCAGTGCCAAGCCATAACAATTATTGGAGAGAATATAAAACCAACTCACCATCTGTTTTATGGTATGTGCCAGGTGCTCTGTAGCATAGCACAGTGATTCTATGTTCTGCTTTTCACTAGTAAAAGTTTCTTGTATGAATTGAAGATATGTCTGAAATGTATAAAGCCCACTGGAGATTTTCCTCAGGCATTTATCCTGAAGTGAGAGAAAAGTAAGAAGGTCACTTAACAGCTCAGGAACGCTTTGATAGTGGCATTGTGTGTGCAGCACAGGTAACTGGATGGTGCTGATACAGTGGAAGTCTGTGCCATGGCAAAGCCAGCTGGAGCCGGCACAAATCTTTAGGTCAACTTCCACAGGTTTTTTGAAGCAGACAAAAATTACCCCAGGTATAGAGGATTAGACCAGAAAGGAGAGCAGTGGTTCCTTGCCTCATTGAAGCCGGTGAGCAGACACCCGTCCTCCTCTGTCACCTTGGGGAGGTTGAGATTGTTCTGGATGAGCATTTCCATGCTATTCTCGCAGACGGTAAACTTCTCGCACATCTAGGGAGAGACATCGAGAGGTTTCATTGCACCTTGGCCAGTGGCAGCAACCTCCGGGTCTGGTGTGTATGTCGCCCGAACCCACCTCCTCCTGTAGCTGTGCGGCCCGGGCGTGCAGCAGCCGCGCCAGCCGCTCGCAGTCGGGCAGCGCCGCCCGCCGCCCCGCCGCCTCCTCCAGCTCTGCCTCCCCCGAGGAGTTGGCTGCAGGCAGCGGCGCGGCGGCTGCCCGCGGCAGCAATAGGAGCAGCAGCAGCTGCAGGACGGCGCGGAGGAAGGTCTGGCGGCGGCGGGCGGCGCGGTTACGATCATGGTCACAGGCACAGCCCTGGGGAAACCTCATGGTGCGGCTCCTAGGCTCCGGCACCGGCCCTTTCTCGTCGGCGGAGCTGGCGGGTTGAATGAGCTCCGGACATCCTTGAACGTGTATTTATTGAGGGGGCTTCGAGATTATTCATGGACAAGGGAAAATCCGACATGAGAACACGGGGCTGTGTGCGGCGAAACACTGCTTTGGACAGTGCGGCGATTGTGAAACTACATGAAGTCATCGTGCTACTGCACCGTAATTCATTGAGGACCGGGCTATCTCCCATCCCTGCCGCTGGCAACGGCTTACCTGGCCCCACCGGGCAGGGGCTGGGGTCGGGTCCAGCTGCCGGCAGCCTTCGAGTCTGCCAGCTCCAGGTGCACAGAACATCTCTGAAAATGCATGCACCTACTACGTGTGTACACACATACTTACATTATATATATGCGTGTGTGTGTACATACACTTATGTGTGTACCTATACCTATGTGTGTATGTATGTATATTTTTCCATATATTTTAAAGTGGTTTAGTGTTCTATAAATTTTATGTTATGTGTATTTATATTCTAGCTATTTTCATTAGTTGTGACCTCCAGCTGTCCCTGGAGGTCCCTTCCTACACTAACAATTTTGTGATTCTGTGATATATCTGAAACTAAATGCTGGATATGTATAAGTCATAAGTGACCTCTCTCCCTGTTGACCTGTGTATGGCTGAAATGAAATACATCATGCTCATGCTCTTTAAGTGCGCCTTGAATAGGCCAAATCCAGCTCTGACAAGAGGGTGGCTGTAGGAAATATCACCCAGTTCCCTGCTATCTGCTGCCTTATCTCTTTCTGCCCATCTGGGAGGGGAGGTGGGATTTTTAACCTTTCACATAGGGGCTCTTTACCCAGGGCAAGTATGGCTATTCAGCTCAATTGTGTAGAGTGTGGACTGAGTCAAACTGTGCAAGGCATTCTGAAGTTGAACTTTTGGAATGTCTTAAACTGATTTTGGACAAGGTGACTTTTATCTTTTTTCTTTTTTAATGAAATTGGTGTTTTCTTACTTAAGGAAGACAGAAAAAGGCCTGATTCTGCTTCAGGAGGTGTTAGCAGGAGGGCACAAAGGGGAGAGAACAGGACATGGGACATAAGAGACAACACAGTGACCGAACTTGGGTGTCCTCATTTAGACTCTCCAAAACCCCCAGATATTTCTAATTCATTTTCTAAGGACATCCTGGATAGAGAGCTGCAGGAAAGAAGAGGGTACTACTGCATTTTTATTTAATGTCCTATTCCTCCAGTAGAGAGAAGCAGCTGCGGTTATTTTGCCCAGTAAAGAGATGTTAACACTGAAATGCAGGTGTGAGAGAGCCATTTCCAACAGCAGCAATCCCCCTCTGCCCAGTTTCCTGAGCGCAGCAGCAGGGAGCAACAGCAATAATGTTCTGTCATGTTAGCTCTCCCTCAGCAGGTCTGTGTCATTAGGCATAAGAATAAAGCACCCCACTAACAGTCTGTTTCATTAATATCAAATGAAAAGACCAAGGTGCCAAAGGATTAAAACAGCCAGAGCAGATGAGCTCAGTGCTCCTGACAGTCTGATAACCATCAGGGGCAGATACAACAGGATGGGAACTCGTGCATCCTCCTCTGTTTGTGGTAGCACATGGGTGTACATGTCTTGGATAGGGATTTCCTTCCACTGCCGGGTGGCTCTTGGGCTCTTCCCTCCAGACAGCCAAACTTTTCCTTTGCCTATCCAAAGGTTAAATATTAACTATTCCTAAAATCACCAAAACTCAGTAAAAGGCTACATTTCCTTAAAAATATATTTTCAGCAGGTATTCTGTAAGTTAATCTTGTTTGTAGCTCTGGAATTTTTAATTCTGTAACTTTATTTTGTGAGCTGTCCTTTTCTCCTGATGTCATGAAAATATTTGTGCCCTAGCAGTCTACAGAGAACCTTTTTGGGCTGAGCACTGCTGTACAGGGCCAAGTCTTACTAATGTGTGTAGTTATGTTTTCAGAGTGAAATAGAAGCAAATTTCAGCTGTTGTTCCTCATCTAAAAGCCTCTCAGCCTTCAGTTATTAGTGTCTCCTTTTGGGGTTTCATTTACTCTTTTACATCATTGTCTGTACGACTTTTCAGAAATACAAAGTGTGCTTACATACAACAGTGGAAGTTGTTCACTAATGCCTTAGAAACTCAGTTTGACAATCTAGGACAAAGCGTAGCATTCAAGGAAAGGAGGAACTGGAATTTACACAGTAGCATTAATATATTTCTGCTATTGCAGCTTCTTATGGAAAACCCACTTTTTAAATTGGTACTGCACGTCAAAGAAATACTTTGTGCTAATCTATCTATAATAACGGTTGAAGTCTGGTTTAAAGGGGGTTTATTAATCTGCACTGTACTACACTGAGTTACACTGATTCATCAGTAGCCACATTATTCAAAATGTAGTAAGCTCTGAACAAACAGCCCTTGCTCATGAGTTAGCTACCAGTCAGGAGATTTGCCTGTTGGTACTTTAAAATGTACAAGTAGTATTACTGAGACTCTGAGGTGTAATTCCTAGATACAGAAGAATTTCTTTCCTGCATAGCATCTTTGTAATACTGCATATTACTGTTCTGATGCCCTTTTGTTGCTATGGTTCTTCACGCCACTGTAGTTTTTTTCCCCTGTAATTTATACTATAAACCAGATCTTCTTAAGGTGGGATTTCAGAAGTTCTCAGTGTTTATCCAGCTTTCTCTTCTGTCTGAGCAATGAGCATTACTGCTGTACATTTCTGTGGGAAAAGAGGGGTCCATTCTGAATGTTGTAGAATTCTCTCCTCTCAGACATGAAAATGACTCCTGGTTACAGTTCGAGCTTATAACGAGGGAGCCCACCCAGGATCATCCCATGCATCAAACTCTAGGATCAGTGTGGCAACTCAGAGGCCCATTTCTAAACAGGTTCTGTTTCTTCTAGAATTGTTCTGCCTGGGAGCAAGCCCATACCACTTTTGTTCCTGATACCTGAGAAATTTGCAAACAAGAGGCTGTTTTCACGAGAGGTGGGTGACAGCAGTGTGGAAATGCTGCTGCCACTGAAGAATTCAACAGGCTGTGGAGCTGTCATGGTCAAAGCTTGTCACCCTTCTTCTGTCAACCACCAGGCACATGTCGTCAAGGAGTCCCACCATCAGCCAAGGTAAAACCCAGCAGTAGGAGACCTTGTGTGCTGAATTCTACAAGTCAATTAAATGGCTGTATAAGTGCAATTCCTAGATGGAAAAATAAGGTCTTTTAATAAAGCAGGAGGATTACTAAGGCTGCAGTATGTTCTACTCTGATTTATTTGGGTATTTGGTTCGACTGTTTTTTTTCTTTCTAATAAATTACACTATTCTATGGTAGTAATACAAACCACTAATGTTTATTCAGAGATTATGATTTCAGATTGTACTGTTGGTAATAAGAGAAGAAATACAACTAAAAATGCAGTTCTTCCGTAAGTGTTAGTTTTTGTGTGGAAGAAAATGCCAATGGTTGGTAGACTGTTCAAGTGGGATCATGACAATGACTGAAAAAAATAACTTCTGAATGTCTTGAATGAGGTTGGAAGATTATGTCCAATTCCCCTGACATATTTTTGGTTGAATCAAAGCTAGGAATGAGGAGCCTTGAGTTTCTACAGATCTTGTAAAAAGTGGAGATGAATTCTTTGTTGTCTATCGAGATGTGAACACTTCATCTTTTCTAGAGCTCGTTTCTTTTAAGGATCTTTATATTCAGCATTCACTGACATTACAGTCACTTATCTCTAAACGCTTATGTGCCTCTTCTCTATTTTTTCTGGAGTTTTTTGTGTCACAAAGCATTAGCAGAATCATCTTCAGCAGTCTCCATCAAAAATCACTAGCTTCAAAAACTAGAATTCATTTTTGTCCATGCATTTTCAAATAAATGGTCACCATTGGCTCTGCTAAGAGATGAAAGCATGAGGCTTAAAGCAAGCTGCCCTGTGCTGCATTTAAACTGAATGGGTTGAAGAGATCATTAATGTCATGTGTTCATGTTTCTCGTAAGCAAACATTGCTTTCAGAAGCTGCACATCACCAAAAGGCACTGGTGGACTTGACTAATGGCCCTTGGATTTTGTGGCTTTGCAAACTGGTTCTCTCTTTGTTGTTTCCCAGGTAAATGCAGAGTTGTTTGTGGATTTTTGGTGAAAAGCTTTGGGGATTGCTCATTTTACTTCTTTTTACTTCATTAAAGGTAGACTTGCATCATTTTCAAGTAATACTGGGATGTGTAGTAATAGACATTCCCCCCCGCCCCCCCCCCCCAGTGTTTTATGTGCAAATACCATGAATTTCCATGCCTTAAGCTAAATCAGAGGTTTAGAGGAAAAATTCTTAGTTAGCTTTAGATTATGTCCTTATTTTCAGCTTTACCTTCTTAATGTTGAGGAGAGAAATCATGTCAATGAGAAATGAGACCATGAGAAATCATGGTCTTCTCTAGTCAGCTTCTAGGCAGGTATGCAGCTGTAAATGAAAGATCTAGAAACTGTTCTTGGGGGATATCTGAATGCCACAGGTCACTTTAAGTAGACGCATCTTCAAATCAAAACAATTGCAGATGGTTTAGCACTGCAATAGAATATCGAAACGCTCACCAGTGAACCTAGATTTGCACAAGGAGCACTTTGCTGCTGTGGCTGCACTGATGGTGTCACAAAGCAATTCCACAAACTTTTCCAATGGAAGAAAGGTAGCTCTTGCATTGTCTCCACCATGGCACAGTGTTCCTCATGTGGTGATGCTTCTTTGTAGGGCTGCATGAAGCACAAAAGCAGAGAACTGGCCATATTAGAAATACCCCGGTGGCCTTCTGTCTTTCACAAGCAAGCATGATACCTGCATGGTGTTATCTGCCTTGTCTGTGATCATAGTCCACCATAGTCCACCATGGCAACACACTGTTTTGACAAAGACCCCATCTTGTGAGTACTATGTCGGTCTGCACTTGTTGGTCTGCACTTCTATAGAAAATGTTATTTGAACTAAATTCCACTTGTGTTTAAGGAACTTCTTAGTTCCCTTTGAGTTCTCTTCTATGCATGAAA